TCTACAAAGCAAAAGGAAAATCCCTATGTAAATCCCAAGGTGTTCTTTGTGCGGCTGCGTAATCACTCATGCTCTGGCAAACCCCCACGGTATAGGGGCTTCCCTTTAATCCGTAAAGGAGGAAACCGTAAAGGGGAATCGGGGCGACTGATTGGGGAACTTCAACCCATTACCGATTTTCGAAACCGGATCTAGCTACAAAAGCTTCTGGCTACCGATTCTAGCTACCGATTCTGGCTACCGATTCTGGCTACCGATTCTGGCTACCGATTCTGGCTACTCCTGTAGAATCCTAAGAAATACGTCTTTTTTTTATTTTTCCCCACCGACCCTAGTTTTAATCCAAAGTTTCAGCAATTTTTGACAAATCGCGATGTCGATGACGATGACAAATCGCCTGAAGCCAATAGAACCAGCGACGGCCTAGGGGATAGTGTGTTAGACTCCGAAAGCTATACCCCCTTTGCTCCCGGGTTCAATTCCCCTTGCCGCCAAATTCTTTGCTTTTTTTTGGACAACTTTTATTAAAAAGCTAGGAAAAATAGCTAGAAAGGTATTGGACGAATTGTAGGAGTTGGTATTGTTGTATTTTTACTATAAAATTGTCAAGAAAGCTTACTTTCAGCAAACTCGTGGCCGTTCGCCTTGTTGTGCTCGATCGTGACCGCGGTTTTCTTCCTCCTCATTCTCACATGCAGTTCGATTCATTATAAAAGGTTAGTTAGTAGCTTTATGTGTACTTTATACTTAAAAGTGTAAACAAATGCTTTCTGGCACACTCAATTCAATAACTCAAGTCAAACACCTGATCGTTTCACTGATGCAGGTGGTTGAATGCGCCAGAGATTCGTTTCTATCAATTGCAAGCCCAGACAAGTCTCAGGCAAGCCTTTGACATGTACTTTATGCTTAAAAGTGTAAAAACACACGTTCTAGCACATCACTTTCTAGTAAACTGTGTGAGAAAATGGGTTTTTGAATGCGCCAAAAGCGTAGCAGAGATTTTTAAGCAAAGTACACTAAAAACTCAAACTAAAACACTAAAAAACTAAAAACTAGACTCAAAAAGACAAAATAATCTAAACGAACTTTTGCCTACGAGACTGTACGCTTAAAATACTGTCGTCGCGAATAAATTTCTTTCAAAAAACTTCTAAATCTTCTAAATTCATTTTTTTCAGAAAAACGAATCGAACTGCCTCATTCAATCTGAAAGACGAGCTCGCTACTCCACAAAATGTCTATTATTAATCAAAAAAAAAAGACAATTTCAATGAAAATCGGCTTTAATTTGATTATTTTGAGAATTTCTGTGATATTCCACAAAAAAAATTGCAAAAAAACCGTTTCTATCAAATTTTTTCTATAAAATTCTTTTCATTTATGTGATTTAGCTATTTTTTGATTTATTTTAGAGAATTTGTGAACGATAAAGATATGATTTGACATTTGAATTTTTGGATAAAAGCTCGAAAAAGCTTTCTGTACAAATGTTGCATTATATTCGTTCCTAGGTATAAACGGATGTGGACTAGAATTTGGGTTAAGTTAAAGAGAGTGGATCCCTTTTGATATCCCGCCATCTCTAACACCCCGACAACTGAAATCGACAACTTTTCTGAAATCTAACTTCATCCTGAATTATTGGGTTGGTGGGCATACTTTCGAAGTACCGCCCCCAAGTGTCCCCATCGAATGTCCCCAGGGTATCCCCATAAAAGTGTCCCCATAGTGTGTGTCCCTGGGGAGGGTACCCTTAGAAAGTGTCCCCATGTGTTTTTTCACCCTAAATTTGATCATTTTTCTTTTTTTAAGCCAAGTTGCTCTGTTTTTTCTTGTTATTTATCAACAACACACTTTATGAGCATGCATTTATTGGATTGGTGAATTGAAAACTGCGGGACTTTGAACTAAAATTTATTCAACATAAAACCATCAATTCATTCCAAATAATTTCAAGAGAATCAAAGAAGCCATGATCTTTAGCGTGTCGGATGAGAATTCCGGCAATAGCGACCCGTGAAGCCTTGTTTGAGGTCTACCGCTTGAGGTCTACCGCTTGAGGTCTACCGCTTGAGGTCTACCGCTTGAGGTCTACCGCTTGAGGTCTACCGCTTGAGGTCTACCGCTTGAGGTCTACCGCTTGAGGTCTACCGCTTGAGGTCTACCGCTTGAGGTCTACCGCTTGAGGTCTACCGCTTGAGGTCTACCGCTTGAGGTCTACCGCTTGAGGTCTACCGCTTGAGGTCTACCGCTTGAGGTCTACCGCTTGAGGTCTACCGCTTGAGGTCTACCGCTTGAGGTCTACCGCTTGAGGTCTACCGCTTGAGGTCTACCGCTTGAGGTCTACCGCTTGAGGTCTACCGCTTGAGGTCTACCGCTTGAGGTCTACCGCTTGAGGTCTACCGCTTGAGGTCTACCGCTTGAGGTCTACCGCTTGAGGTCTACCGCTTGAGGTCTACCGCTTGAGGTCTACCGCTTGAGGTCTACCGCTTGAGGTCTACCGCTTGAGGTCTACCGCTTGAGGTCTACCGCTTGAGGTCTACCGCTTGAGGTCTACCGCTTGAGGTCTACCGCTTGAGGTCTACCGCTTGAGGTCTACCGCTTGAGGTCTACCGCTTGAGGTCTACCGCTTGAGGTCTACCGCTTGAGGTCTACCGCTTGAGGTCTACCGCTTGAGGTCTACCGCTTGAGGTCTACCGCTTGAGGTCTACCGCTTGAGGTCTACCGCTTGAGGTCTACCGCTTGAGGTCTACCGCTTGAGGTCTACCGCTTGAGGTCTACCGCTTGAGGTCTACCGGTTGACATGGATCCGATTCGATTGCAGCCCTCAAAATACCGTTGTCTACCGCTTGAGGTCGACGAGAGTGTTCATGATCGTTCATGATCCTCCGATCCATGACCGAGACTTTCATCACCATTCGGAAAGCGTTGGAACCAGGCTCGGTATCGGCTTTCGGACAATGCATCATTTCCAAATGCTTTGACCAAATCTCGATGGGATTCAGCGACTTTTTTTGCCCAGTTTGAAGTCGTAAAATAGACAGATTTGAAAGTAAAGTAGGCAGACTTGAAATTTGAAGTCGTTGGTACCAGGCTCGGCAATCTAGAGCAAGAAAAAAAGATCTTAAAAATAAGAAATTATTAAATCTTTATTAGAAGATTCCAAATACTTTTAAATACAGAAAGACATGTTTTAAAAGCTTCTCTCACAACAATAAGTTTAGCAACGCTTGTTTATATCCGAACAACCTAATAGTTGCAAGCTTTCTAAACAAATGTACCTATTATTAATTATTAAAATGCAACAAACCTATTTCTCTGATGATTTCCGCTTTGGCTTGCGTCTTCTGTGAGGGTGAAAGATTTGGCAATGTTTTTGGGTTAAGAAATGCGGCAACGCAATGATGCGCACTTCCGTAGAACACATGTCGTTTTTTACAATCATTTCCACAGACACTCTAGAGGAAACTGTAGAGGAAACTGTAGAGGAAGCTGTAGAGGAAGCTGTAGAGGAAACTGTAGAGGCTCGATTGTATTTAATAATAGATTATCCATTTAGGTTTTGTACTAAAGAAAATGGAAAAAACATAGCTTTTCTGGTGCTCATACTTGCTCTTGAAGTGTACTTTGTGCTCGAAAGATTTTTCTTAGTCTACTCTTCACTTTTCCATGATAAGAGAGACGAGGAAAGGTGTGTTTCCATCATTTTGAGCACAAAGAACGAGTGCTTGGGAAATAGAAACGCTTCTGAGATACTTTTCTTGAAAAAATTCAATTCACAAGAAATCTTAAAGATTCATTGCATTCGAAAGAGTATTTTTGCAAGATTTAAGCCCAAAGTACACTTTAAATAGTGCTAAAAATGAAATCCAGAGCTGAACGAAGTGAATTGAATGTTGAATGACACGAGAATTTCTGAAGTTTTCTTAATTTATCAAAAATTTTGAATTTTTTTTTAAAAAACATAATTGTCAGCTCCGAGCCAAACTGATATTTTAGTTACTATTGTTATTATTGAATAATTTGTCTATTCTTATGCAAATGTGTTCTCCCCTGTGCTTATCCCTTTTATTGCCGAGAAGGGGCGGTCCTTGGGATTGCCTAGGAGGACAGTGAGGAGCCTAGGAGGACAGTGAGGAGCCTAGGAGGACAGTGAGGAGCCTAGGAGGACAGTGAGGAGCCTAGGAGGACAGTGAGGAGCCTAGGAGGACAGTGAGGCTCTCGACCTCAATCGGTCGAGACCTCAAGCGGTAGACCTCAAGCGGTAGACCTCAAGCGGTAGACCTCAAGCGGTAGACCTCAAGCGGTAGACCTCAAGCGGTAGACCTCAAGCGGTAGACCTCAAACAAGGCTTCACGGGTCGCTATTGCCGGAATTCTCATCCGCCACGCTAAAGATCATGGCTTCTTTGATTCTCTTGAAATTATTTGGAATGAATTGATGGTTTTATGTTGAATAAATTTTAGTTCAAAGTCCCGCAGTTTTCAATTCACCAATCCAATAAATGCATGCTCATAAAGTGTGTTGTTGATAAATAACAAGAAAAAACAGAGCAACTTGGCTTAAAAAAAGAAAAATGATCAAATTTAGGGTGAAAAAACACATGGGGACACTTTCTAAGGGTACCCTCCCCAGGGACACACACTATGGGGACACTTTTATGGGGATACCCTGGGGACATTCGATGGGGACACTTGGGGGCGGTACTTCGAAAGTATGCCCACCAACCCAATAATTCAGGATGAAGTTAGATTTCAGAAAAAGGATTATTTGGATAGAGAGATTCAATTTCTTATACATCGCTGGGTTTCTCTAATCATCTTCGCGAAATTTGCGCTTTTACGTTTTTTTGAATGAGGTACCGTTCTATTACAGTATTTGCGCTACCTAATAACAAGTTTTACTCGAAAGGCTTTAAGAGAGAACATTTAAAGCAATTACATCAAAAGTCAGAAGCAATCAGATCAAAAGTCAAAAACAATCACATCAAAAGATCAACCGCTTGTTGTCGCGTTGATGTAGCAGGCGATTTGCACGGCGGTGATCAAATTTCCACCGGTTGACTGAAAAATTACTTTATCGACATTAGATTTCAAATGGATTTTCTCTTTTGGTGACAGGTGACAGGCACTATTGGTGACAGTGACAGGCACTCGTAATGAAGCTTTTTCGACTCACCCCCACATAGTCCCATTCGGCACTCGGCGAACAAAGGAAGTAATGGGCTGAATCGGAGATCACCTGGAGTAATATGGGATCAGTTTAGAATACTCAAATTCTTGGATGAGTTGATCAATCGACCTTCAAAAGAGACCATTACAATCGTTAAAGAACATGTTGAAAACAGAAGTTTTGCCTAGGATTCAGCAGTACTACGGAAATAAGCCCTGGATATTTCAACAGGACAGATCCATCGGATCCATCGCAGGACAGTTCCATCACAGGACGGAGCTCCATCGCATAAAGCTCGAGAAACACAAGATTAGATCACAAAGAATTGGATCACAGTTGCGCGCAAAATTCAGGAGAATGATCATTCAACTCGCCGGATTTGAATGTTTTGGATTATAGCATTTGGTCGAGCTTGAAGTCCAGGGCTTGTTACAAGTCTCACACAGCACTACAGTCTTTGAAAAAGGATTTGAAGAAAGCTTGGAACGACATTGGTATGGAGGTCATATAGGTCTTATAGGTCTTATGGAGACACTGCCCCCAATCAACTAAGAGATCAATCTAATAGAGATCAATCTATTAGAGATCAATCTATTAGAGATTAATCTATTAGAGATTAATCTAATAGAGATCAATCTATTAGAGATCAATCTATTAGAGATAAATCTATTAGAGATCAATCTATTAGAGATCAATCTATTAGAGATCAATCTATTAGAGATTAATCTAATAGAGATCAATCTATTAGAGATCAATCTATCAATCCAGTCAACTTCACTTCCGAATGAAGAGATGCTCACCGGATTCCCATATTTGATGTAGGCAAAAAATCGAGTCCCTGTTGGCACTTGAGTCATGACACCGAAGAACATCTGGATATGGATGAGTCTGAGTTTCTTGACCATTACTCACATTTTTATTCGGGAAATCATTTCGCCGACATGTGTAGGTGGCTGTGAGACAACCGGCTCCATCCGTTCTGAATTTGGCAACTGAATCAACGTTGAATTTTGAAAGCCGTTCACTCACTGAAAATCATTGAAAAAATGGGTTCGTCTAGACAAAAGACTAGACAAAAGACTAGACAAAAGCTCTGATAAAGTAATCGAATAGAGTTCCGTAACGTTAGCCTCTTGAGACAAGGCAATAAGGTAACTCTCTTGAGTCAAAGCAATTCTGGATGAGGGTCGACAGAGCTACCAACGTATAGGTGAAAATCAAGGTCCCATTTTCGCCAGTAGCTCGGTAGGATGAGAGATTCTGCGCGCATCCTGAGCCACATGCTGAAATTGCTTTTTCGGGCATTGTAGGATAGCGATTTTATATTTTATTTAGCTTCACAAACTTTGTTGTTTATTAAGTGGTAATTAGAGAAAAGCAGCAACAAAAAACTCACGAGGACGTGTCGTAGTTGGTGGTAAAGGTGTGGTCTGAAAGGAAATGAATGTGTTATTTGAGAGGATTCACTTTGGAGTAAGAAAAGATCGATATGGAATCGATCGATCGATCTGAGCTGATCTGGTGGTGGGATTTGGAAGAATTTTGGTACTACGCCAGTTGGGCGTCATTTATTTTTCTTCAAAACCACTTTTTCTGGGGTAGTTTTATGCGTAGATTCCGAAAAACACAAGCGTTGGGGAAAAGCGTTTTAAGCCGAGTTTCGCGGCTGCGTACAGCCAGTATTACTCTTCATGGATGATTACAGCCATTATTACTCTTCATCAGCAAGGAAAAACAATCGCATAGATATCTCAAATCTCGCAGGAAAAGAGACAGAATGTTTTTCACGCTCTGAAGCGTTTCAAAGAAACGAGCTTCAATGCGGCGTAGTACCAGGATTTCGAGTCATTCTGATCGAATAGAAATCAGGATTGATTTGGTTCGAATTGATATGGTTCGATTAAAGATAGGCCATTCCTTTTAATTGTACAGACAAAAAAACCGAAGATTGTATAGAATATTGCCAAATTTGCCAAAAGAGTATTGCCAAAAATCCTCTAAAAGCCGTACACGTAAACCACAAACCGCCTCTATGCACTCGGGATCGGTGAGACCGGGCGGGTGGAGAACTTGATTGGGCGCCAATTGAAGGCCACATTGAGTCTTGTTGGTGACCAAATTTTTCACCTGTAAACGACAAAAAGTCGTGTTTCGTTTTGACCAGATCTTTTGTGCACACTGACAAGGAAAGGTTAACTGACTGAGCCGGTCAAATCACATGACCATTTGACCAATCTGTACCATTTGACGCAAAATTTCACACTGATTCCGAATCTGGTTCGCGTTTTTGCTGAGCGCTATTCTGGCAGAAGTTATAAGCGTTTAAACTTTGTTAGGACTCTGAAAATTTGGATTTTTTGGTCTTAGGCGCCTTCTGCGCGGCCTCGATTCTAGTAGATCGTGGTCGTTGGCCGGCTCAGTCAGTTGGCCGGCTCAGTCAGTTGGCCGGCTCAGTCAGTTGGCCGGCTCAGTCAGTTGGCCGGCTCAGTCAGTTGGCCGGCTCAGTCAGTTGGCCGGCTCAGTCAGTTGGCCGGCTCAGTCAGTTGGCCGGCTCAGTCAGTTGGCCGGCTCAGTCAGTTGGCCGGCTCAGTCAGTTGGCCGGCTCAGTCGTTGGCCGGCTCAGTCGTTGGCCGGCTCAGTCAGTTGGCCGGCTCAGTCAGTTGGCCGGCTCAGTCAGTTGGCCGGCTCAGTCAGTTGGCCGGCTCAGTCAGTTCACCTTTCCTTGTGAGCTGGGTGAAAAGAAATTTTGTAGGCTAATTTCTTTCAAGCTCAAGCCAGCAGTGCGTTTTTCAGCTAGTTCGGAATTTCGGAAAACTAGATCAAACCAGAGGATGATCAAGGCAGCATTTATTTCCCGGACATGGAGTCTTCGGACAGGTGGTGGTTCGATTGGTTGGACCGCTTAATAAAGGGGTTTATGCCGATAACTCTAGAAAGCTCACGTGCAAGGACATTCGTATTCAGCTGATGTGCAACTTCTTATCTGTTTAACTGAACCACAAAGCCCGCAGGTCTTCGTACACGCGCCTACGTTCGACCATGCCGACCACACGCCTAAACAGGGAAACTCGAGCAGAGAAGATCAAGAGATCAAGTTTAAATGGCATTGATGAGCCGCAAAATTTGAGATTTGACTTAGATTGAGAACTAATTTGATGATAATTTGATTGTAGATCGAAACAAACCTCCAGGCGGACACGGGAAGCAGTCGATGATGCCTACATATAAGAAATTACTCAGAAAGAAAGAAAGCCAAACCATAAGCCGATGAGCCGCATTCAGCGTAGTGCCAGTCGGTGGCCAGGCTCACGTTGCCACAATAATATTTGCTGCCACCAGCCGGCTTCCACTGAATTTACACAAATCAGAGGCTCTCTTACTATTCGACTTTTCGTTTTCAATATTTGGGAATAGCCGATTTCTCAGAAAATTAGTTACAGAATTCTAATAGAAGACCTTTTGAAGGGAGGTTGAGAAATAGAAGATCAGTCTTCAACAGAAAACACAAACTCTTAAAATGCACCATTTTGCTACCGTATCCCGTTATTAACCACATTTTCTTGCAAAAATCATTGTGCAAAGTTATTATTTCTTTACTGCTAATTTTTAAATTCTTGTTTTTTAAATTCTTGTTTTTTTAAATTCCTGTCTCTTGTTTTTAAAATAAATTATTTTTATTTTTAGGGCTGATGACTGAGCGACTGCCAATTCGCACGAATTCTCTCGAAAGACGAAGAAACGAATTCTCTCGAGCTATTCGAGAAGCTGACGGAAAGCTGACGAAAGCTGTGTTGAATTCTTCAAAGAACAAAAAAAGGAGAATGGGAACGAAATGAATCAAGATCCGGAGAATGATTTGGATACTTTTGACACGAAATTGCTCAAGAAGAGAAGAAAACGGAAGGCCTATTCGATCAATTTCAAGCTGGAAACAATCGAATTTGTGAAGAAGATCTTGAAGAGTGCTGCGAGCATGTTTCAAGTCAGCAGAAAAATGATTCACGAATGGATTTCACAAGAAACGATTGCAGAGGATGGGAAAGTCTTGCAAGAGGTTGAAAGAAGGTAGCTGAACCCTCACAAACAAGCAAATTGACGTGAAACTTGTCAAATTGGTTCCGAAGCGAGCGACAAAAGAAGAACAAAGCCATGAGGCGGTTGATCCAAGAAAAAGCCAAGCGCTTTTGTGAGCTAAACGAAATCAATCGAATGGAATTGATTTGGGCGAAGACGAGGAAAACAAGGATTACGAAAGCGATGACGAAAGCAATTAATGGATTTCACAAGAAACGATTGTGGAGGATGGGAAGTCTTGAAAGAGGTTGAAAGGAGGTAGCTGAACCCTCACAAACAAGCAACTTGACGTGAAATTTGTCGAATGGGTTACGAAGCGAGCGACAAAAGAAGAACAAAGCCATGAGGCGGTTGATTCAATAAAAAGCGAAGCGCTTTTGTGAGCAAAACGAAATCAATCGAATGGAATTGATCTGGGCGAAGACGAGGAAAACAAGGATTACGAAAGTGATGACGTTAATGACGTTGACGTTGAAGTTAAAGTCGAGTGACGTTAAAGTCGAGTGACGTTAAAGTCGAGTGACGTTAAAATCAGTGACGTTAATGCAAATGAAATCGAGGATGATTTAACGGATATGCTCGTTTGAAATCGTTTGTTGTTGTTTGTTAATTGTTACTTAAAGACCCTTTGGGAAGGGGGTTAAAAAATAGAAGACCATGATCTTCTAGAATCTTTACGGTAACTCGAATTTGTTTCAGTGCCAAACCTTTTTATATGGAGCAGCACAGACGGGCGCTATTCCGCATGGATTCGTCGGGCATGGGACCAGACGAGAATAGGGACCCCTAACGTGTGAAATGTTTTTGAAACGAGAAATCCTCTGACTCACGCTATTCGATTCAAATCGTCTGCTATATCAAATGTGATAGCGAAAATTTATAGCTGTTTGGATAGCTGTTTGCTGTTGGATAGCTGTTTTAATTGATGAAATACTTTCTTAGCTAGGACATCGTCTAAATGGTGGCCGAATTCCGAAAATGGTGAACGAATTGCCTAAGCCTAAGCGATTCCAGTCTTACGTCTTACGAGGGAAAGGCACAGATTTATGGTGGGGTTTTGAGATAAGCCTTGGCACACCCATAGAATCGACTCAAAACCCAAACATGAACCCAAAAACTTGTATCCCAAAGATCTGGCGTTAGAGGCTTTTAGAGCAAAAACTAAAAACGGATTCGTGATCAACATGGTCGATTCTATAAGTGTGCCAAGGCTCATCTCAAAAGCCCATCGTATATTTGGGCCCTTCCTCTGTTAGTGGTGACACCGGGCCGAGAGAATGCCGTTTGAACCCACGTGCACGGACATCCCCAATAAAACGAGTCACACGTTCTTCGCTGCACTTTTCTTCCTTTTAGACCGCAAGTTTTCGAGCACGTCGTGTAGTCGGTCCATTTCGACCAGACGCCTAAAGAATTGATCGATGTGCTTTGTGCTGATGAATGGAAATCTCAAAAACCAGAGATTCTATGTACAGGGTGGCGCAAAATCACCCGTGCACCTTCTCAGCAGATTATCAATTCAAAAAACGCCGCAATTCAATTCAAAAACCCTAAAAGTCTCATTACTGCCAACAACGGAGAATATCTTTTGGATTGAAGCGCATTGTTTTCTTTTTGTGGAGATAAATTTGTTTTTCATTAAAAGGGTATTTTCATTCTGGACAACCTAATAATTGGGAAGTGCGGTGTCTCAAAAGTTAGTTGCTATAAACTGAGTCAACGATTCTCCGCAAAAACCCAAACACTCAAACAAACCAGTTGTGACATTCGAGCAAGTCGTGCAACATCCCCAAGGCCAGAGTCCTTGTGGCATACACGGATCGGGCCAGAGGTCGCCGATTGCGTCGACGAAGCTCACTACATAGACTTTGTATAATAGAGTTTTTTTGAAAGCAGCTAAAAACCCGGCTCTGCGGCCCCTGCGGCCTTTTCGGCTTTGCAAAGTTTTCATCAACTATGTGATTTGTTTAAATATTGTAGATTTATAAACTCTTTCCAATAAAAATCAAACAAACCTTTCAAAAAGATGAAGATTAAAATGGTGATTTTCAGGAACATTTCTGCTACAAAATGACTCTACCGAAAACAGTGGGGAACAATATTTATAAGCCGTTTTTGAGCGCAAAGTTCACGCATTGTGGAATTTCTATGAAAAAGAGTCGAAGCCGATTTCAATATTGGATTTCTTTCGATGTTCCCGCAGTGATGGATGTTGATTTACATGGAATAGACTGGAATGAAATTGTTTTTTTTTCAGAAAACGAGCCAAAAACCGACCACTCGAAAGTTCGCAAATTAAAAATGCTGCTGCTTTGCAGAAATCCGAGCAAGGAGCACGTTTTTCGACATTTCACCGAAAATGGAAACTCTACTGTCTATTTTGATCCATCGAAAATCTATTTTGAAGTCACAGAAGCCGATATTGTTATGTAAAGATTAAGCAATTCACTATTTTCAAAGACTAGACACGTTTAAAAGTTTGATCAGTGCAACTGCTTAAGCTAACCTCAATTTCACCGTTGACCATCTCGGTCAAAAGAGCCACAAACAGCAAAAACGAGAAGAGGAAGATTTCTGATGAAAATGATTGAGATTGATGAGCTCTCTTTGTCTATTTAAAGGCACATTTTGTGACAGAAATATTCTACAGCGGCTCTTGTTGCCAAGTTTAGAAGTAATCTCTTTTTTACATCAAATGCTTTATGATAGTTAATTGACGATATTGGTCGTTAAATTTAGAAAACTTTGATTTAGCTATGTTCTCGAGTGAGATTTTCAAAATATTTTGACAAAGGTACTAGTTTTTGAACTCTCTTTCGATAATTTCCAATAATGATCGCACAATTATTAGGCAGACTTCGTCCCAAGCCCGAAGTAAGGCAACTAGAAGTTGTGCAGTTGATTGGATATTCTTTTTCGAGATCTTCTGCTCAAGGATGCTTCGACTCGAGTAGTCAGGGGGGTTCAAATCGCGAGAGTTACTTGGCCAAACATCCTTGTTCCAAAAGCTCGGAAACAATGACACATTTGAAGCTTTGGACGAGCTCCATGGGCAAATGCTCAATCCTGTTGGGCAATCCTGGAAAATGCTCAACCCAATCCAATCCGTAAATCTTGAACCGACAAAATTTATTGGAAGAGGAAGAGCTATTGGAAGAGCTATTGGAAGAGCAATTGAAAGAGCTATTGGAAGAGGAAGCTGCTATTGCTGCTGTTATGCTTTACTGGCTTTCACTTTGCCTGCCTGGCTTTAACTGCTGGTTCTCGCTTGGTTCTGCTACAGATCTTGGCTCGGCTTTGGCTTGGAAGGCCAACCGCCGATTCTGAAATCCCCATTCGAAAGAGGGCACTGCAGACTTTGCCTTGTTAATCGGCATTCTAAAATGAGTCTAAATAAAGGAATTTAGCTGTGAACTTATTCAAAACATTTGCTTTGTTTCATGTCGCCAACGCAGTGCTTTCGTGCTTCTGCAGACTTCTGTACACGTGGAACGTAATCTTCTGTAATCGAGAAAACTATTTTTGGAATTTTTTCGAGTTCAAAACAGTCCAAAATATTTTTGCCGAGTCGAGTCATAATTTGAAATGCAAAATTTTTAGGACCTGATAAAGAAAGGAATTCTCTTGTGTGCTTTAGAGAAAAGTTGTTTCAACATTGGAGATTTCAAAATGCATTTTAAGTAAATCTTTTTATTCAAATTCAAAATCGAATTCGCCGAAATTGTTCAATGCCTGAAGTTTCGTTATGTTCGGAAAAAGGAACGGGCGCGAGCATTTCATCCGGAATTATCGTGCACAAGAATTGTCGGGCTCGACACTCCACCGAAATCCATTTCCCACTGTCCGCATCCATCGAAACACAGTCGGCCGAGTTATTTGGTGCATTTAAAGTCAAAAAATCGATAAAACTCCAAAAACTCTACTTACTCGGAGCCCAATTCTCGTATTTTAGTGGTAGTCCGTCGGAATAAGTCCAAGTGTTATCATCGTTTCGTCGAACTCCGATGTATGGAGCAGCACTATTCAAGTCTTAAGTTTTCGTTTTGATTTTGATATCGATTTTGAAACGCCTTAAAACAGTTTAGCGCTACTTTTTTGTGGATTTGCAACTCTTTGAGAAGGATTTTCCATATCCTTCCGGATTTGCAACTCTTTGAGAAAGATTTCCTTATCCTTATCCTTCCGGATTTCCCAGCGATCCCCTCTCATTCAAGAGATCTTCAAGAGATCAAGAGATCAAGAGATCTCAGACTTCATCTATTCAAACTCTAATATCTTTACTTCTTGATTATTTCATTGATTTTGATTATTTGATTGATTGAATAAAGAGAATAGTCGTTAAATTCCTTTTGAACTTTATCGATTTCTAAAGTTCAAAAGAAATTTTTGGCAAAACGACTCAAGTATTTCCGTTTTCTCCTTAGCTAAAAATGTTTTGGCTTGACTCAGAGATTGATTTATTAAACAAAAAGCTTTAGATCGTGGGTTTTATCATAAAATTTGACTCTCTATCTATTAGGTTGATGCATAAGTCTTTTCGTTCCCTTTCGTCTGCCGTTTCAAGCCAACAAATGCACCAATTAAACTACGGTTGATTTCATTAGAAAAACCAATTATTTTTCGGCAAAATAAGATTAAAACGGGTTTAAAAATATTTTATGCCTGGATTTTCTTGAGAGTATCAAGTCGGGTAGTCAAAAAGGGCTAACTCGATGATGCGGTTTAGACACCTTAGCTAAAGAAAACCTATCTTCGTGTCAATAGATAAAAGATAGAGAAAAAAAACGTTTGATATTTCGCCAAAATTTCAGAGAAATTCATTCAGCCAATTTTTCCGTAGAGTTTTTTATAGATTTTTACGAAAAAGGCGTTTTTCACTCTCGAATTTGCTTGAAAGTGAACCGAAATTCATTTAAAAAGATGCAAATTGAGCAAAAAAAAACACTTTTTTTATAGAGCAAACTATAGATTAATTGGTGAATTTGTTACTTTTTAACAGAAGTACGAAAAAACGAAAAGACTTATGCATCAACCTAATATAATGGAACTCTATATACAGTACTGGACAATGAAATATCATATTTGAAAATCGATCGTCACTTTCGCCCGTCGGTAACTCCCTTGTCTTTGAGTTTGTCGTTGAGTTTAAACGATTAGTGTTATACATTTTCTGAAAGCTCTTTTCAAGGGCTACACAATGATAATATTAATATTTAGAAATACGGTAAAGAAAAGGGAGTTACAGACGCGCGAAAGTGACGAGTGTCGAGTGAGTGTCGTTTTTCAAATATCATATTTCATTGTCCAGCGGTATATGTCCGATCATCTGAGTTTTTTGATTCAATTCAAAAGAAATGATTCAATTGAAAAGCTTGGTCACCACATTAATCCCAGATAAGAAATCGAGATTCGAATAGAAACGAACTTTGGTCGACAATTCGATAAATAAACGAGTTCTCGAATGTGTTTTGGATTTTCGCCAATTCCCCGTACAAGTTCGCGCATTGATCGACGGCATCGTCATAGTTTTGTGCTGAAATTCTCTCTGAAAACCATAAAAAAACATTTAGTCGCTCAGTCTCTAAATCTGATCGCTCTATTTTGGAAAATTTTGTGGTCCCTTCCATTCCGTTATAGAGAGTCGATTGTAATCACATTCTAATTACGAGGGCAAAATTCAAATCAATGGAAAACTGTAGAAGTTAAATGCGTTGAGTTTAAAGCCTTTTTATAAGGAAAAGGAAAAATCGAGGAAATCGATGTTGGGATGTTTTTAACGGACAGGGAATGAGACGGCTTGTAGTAGAGGATCTTGCTGCAGCTGTTAGCTTTGTCTAGCGATACAGCTTGTAAAAGATTGATTAGAGTGTTCAGAAATTGCTGTGGATTTGGGACAATAGAAACATCGCTGTGGACAATAGAAAACGCATTTAACTTCTACAGTTAACTGTAGAAGTTAAATGCATTCAGTTGAAAGGTCTTTTATAAGAAAATGGAAAAATCGAGGGAATCTTTGTTGGGATCTTTTAAGCGGATCTTCAATCTTCAATTTTGGGGAGCTAACTCTATTTTGCCCACACTAAACTTGTCCCTAAAGTGACTCGACTCCTTTTTTGGTCACCCGCATTTTGCCCTCGAAATTTCTTCAATGGTTCGATCAATTGAAAGAAGTTTTAGCCTATTTTGTAGAGGAGATTTACGACTTTCAAATAGTATTTGGTTGTTCGGATATAAACAAGCGTTGCTAAACTTATGAGAGAGCCATTAGAAAGACGATCAGAGTTGTGAGAGAAGCTTTTACGATTTTCAACTTTACAACTTTACGACTTTCAAATAGTTTATAACATTCATCGATAACATTCATCGATATCAGATTTCTATCGTTGGAAATTTATGAAATCCGCATTTCTTATGTTGAAATCCGGATTTCTTATGTTGAAATCCGCATTTCTTATGCATGTACCTAATAGTAGGGAATCTTGCTACAGTTCTTAGCTTTGTCTAGCGATACAAAGATTAGAGTGTTGATTGATTAGAGTGTTCAGAAATCGCTGTGGATTTGTGGAAGTTAAGGGTTTGTTCTTGCTTGTGAGCGGGCAGAAGGTTAGTGGATGGGTCGGGGGGAGGAAAGCGAAACCTGGTGTTAAGAAATGGATACAAAGTACTTAGGCTTGTCAAAATCAGAGTGGATTGCAGTCGAATCGTTTATTCGATGGAAATGATCAGCTACGGAATTCACTCGGAAATGGGTTATACATTTGGGAATTTTCAGCTAAAAAAGCCCACTTTTAGCTTTTCAAGCTGCTTTTTTTATGAAATGAAATGAAATCCCTTTTTGCAAACAAACGTCGTGTGGCCGCGTACACACAAACATCCTCATTCGGTATTTGAACACTTCCCTTTGGGCATATAATTAAATTTGAGATTGGTAGAAAGAAAGCAAAACAGAAAGCAAATTCAAGAATAAAAGAAAACGTTTGCATTTTCAGAATTTTCAGAATTTTCACGATTTTCAGAAATTTTCAGAAATTTTGTTTAGTTTTCAGCTTTTCAAAGTTCGTTTTTAGATTATAGCTCGTTATCTAAACGGAAGTGATCAAGAGGAAAGATACTAAGCGCTTTATAGAGGAATTTCTTTTTTGGAAAATGATTTAAAAGTGCATTGTACGTGCGACGAAATACAAAAATCAACGAAATATCTCATTTTACATTCCTCCCGTCGCTCCGATCAAGGTGACGAGGATCGTGAGTGTCTTGTCCCGTCAACTCCCTCGTCAACTCCCTCGTCAACTCCCTCGTCAACTCCATCTTCAACTCCCTCTTCAATCTCCTCAATTCCTGCATTTCAATGGGCTTCTCCCCCTCCATCTCCATCATTGATCATTCGTCCTGTCTCCTATCACATTTCAGATTATCCCACAAGACTGGGTATTTGACTTTGAATGATTAGAAGATCTCAATGTTCTGTTTAAGCTAGGATTTCTATTGAAGTCGAAAAAAGAGACAATTTCAATAAAAATTTGCTTTAATTTGCTGATTTTGAGAAAATCTGTGATATTCTAAGAAAAATTGTAGAAAAAGATTCAGTTTTTGCTTTTTTGAAGTGGAAAGGGAGTTCATAAAGAGACCGATAGGTTTAAGGAGGCTCTGGAGGTGCTCAGACTTGTCTAAATCGATAATCGTTCATCCTGGAGGTCACAATTTATTATCTTAACTGAATATCTTAATCTTACTGGTATATTAGTGAAGTGGGGGTGGAGTCTTAAGGAGTCCAATAGATTTTAGAGGACCCTGGAGGTGATCAGACTTGTCTAAATTGATAATCGTTCATCCTGGAAGTCACAATTTATTATCTTAACTGAATATCTTAATCTTACTGGTATATTAGTGAAGTGGGGGTGAAGTCTTAAGGAGTCCAATAGATTTTAGGGGACTCTGTAGGTGCTCAGACTTGTTTAAGTCGATAATCGTTCATCCTGGAGGTCACATTTGATTATCCTAACTAAATATCTTAATTTTACTGGTATATTAGTGAAGTGGGGGTGGAGTCTTAAGGAGTCCAATAGATTTTAGAGGACCCTGGAGGTGATCAGACTTGTCTAAATTGATAATCGTTCATCCTGGAAGTCACAATTTATTATCTTAACTGAATATCTTAATCTTACTGGTATATTAGTGAAGTGGGGGTGAAGTCTTAAGGAGTCCAATAGATTTTAGGGGACCCTGAGGGTACCCAAATCCTTCTTTATCCATAATCCTCCATCCTGGATGTCACTCTAGATCTCCTTTCTATTTCAGATAAGATTTTGCTAAATTTTCTTCTTTGGATGTAAATTGATTGGGCGCTTCTGGATTCTGGAAGAAAAACTAGGATTTC